TAACCTCTGGGCATAAACAATTTCCCCGTTCAGTATTCGGAGATTGCTCTCGCCGAGTTCGCATCTCCTGAGGAGTTCTACTTTGAACAATTTCTATTTCTCCCGCTCCGCGGGGAATAAATTCGCCTTAAAAACCGTTGGGTGGGAGTATCTGAGCCTTGGTTTCCTGCTCAACAACAGCTGGGCCTCGACCTAACTCTTCAAGACAAACTTCAACGCCATTGGCTGGTGTTGTTCGTCTCGTGATTCTGTTATTTGACCCATCCGGAACGCCTTTGGAACCTCGAATTTCACCTCATGCTTTAAGAGACATTTGAGATATTTTTTAAAACAATTTCCTGTCTCCTAGCATTCTTGACTTCGGGGACGAGGACGAAACCTGAAATCGATAGATTTTCACGTTTACCCAGCCAGGCCGGTGTGTGTTTGCGTATCACCTTATACCGATGTCGCGTTGTTCAGCTAATATAACCCACTTCATAGGAAGCGGTGACTAAAAATGGCACATGGATGCGGCCCGAAACGATAGTCGCTATTTACCTCCCATCAGTAGGAGGGGTATGTTTGCGAAGAATACGCCTGCGCCCGCAGCCAGGAAAGCATTCGTGACGGCTGTCCTTAGACATCGTCTTTTTCGCCGGCTTGCTGCATCGCCTACGAAAGGCAGTCTTATGAATACGTCTTTCCTCTCTGCAGTTCAGGTAGCATACTTTTTGTGCGTTCGCCAAGGTTCCTGAGAGTGAAGTTTTCTGGCTAAATTTTAACGAAACGTGTTCTGCAGCTGCCGGAGCTCTGCTTCCACAGTTTCAGGAGAGGAGTTCCATCGCACTTTAGCCGCTAACCCCAACACTAAATTACGTTTTATATTAAAGGAAACAAAACTATGAAAGTTGACGTATTGACCCGTCCATGTCCGACTACGTTTACAGGCCGCATTTAGGCATCAACGCTAACCACGGCCGAGGCAGTCGCAATACGTTTAGAAAAGCCGGCCCTCTGTTATCAAAAGACTTTGCTACAGGCGATTTTTCTCCCTTGGCCAACTACAGACGGTAATCATACAGCGCCCGAAGCCACAGAGAACAGTACAAGGCACGCCGCTTGTCT